GATGCTTGCACTGCATTGCTTGCCAGGTCTGGGACCAGGGCTGCAGCAAGCAGCCTGAGCCCAGCCAGCACACCGTGCAGTAAGCCTCCCCTGGTGCCACTTCTTTACCTGCCTGCATTGTTTCGGGGGGAAGGGGAAGGGACACCAGCAACTACTGCCTCATGAGCCTGATGCCTGCACTGGTTGCCTGTGTGCCTGCACTCCTGGTTGGGGGTGGCCGGGCTCTGGCAGCCAGTCTGCGTAATTTCTTCCTTCTTTTTCCCTTCCCCCTTCTTTCTCTCTTCTTTTTCTTCCACCACTTTCTCTCTCTCCCCTCCCTTCTTTCTTCCCCCCCTCTGTCTCTTACTTTTTCTTCCCCCCCTTTCTCTTCCCTCTGCTTTCTTTCTCCCCGGCTCTTTCTCGTCCTTCTTCTTTCTCCCCCTCTTCTTCCCCCCTCACTTCCCTTTTTTTTCTTTTTTTTCCTGCTTCTTTCTTTTTCTCTCTCCCCCCACTCTTTCTTCTCTCCTCTCTCTTTTTCTCTCTTCACAACATTCTTAACAAAAAAACCCCACAAAACAATGAAGGTAATATATGAAGTTTTATTTATTGTCACCTTACTGTAACAAAATTATGATTATTAACTATATTAATATGCAGTGCGTCCTGCCATGTACCCCCACCCCAGTTTTGTTTTTCTGGCATGCCGGCACTCGCACATTACGAGGTAGACATTATATTTTTTTTGTCACTCTGGCCAAAAACATTGCCTACTGCTGGTATAGATTGTAACAGAGTTTGGAATCCACATGCTGATGCCAAGGAGGCATAAGGAATAGCACACAGGGCACTTCTTGGTTTTCCTTCTGTCATTTTGCCATCATGTAATTCATGCTACCATGTCAGCTGTACCTCAGTGACCTCCTTCAACATTGCTTCATTTCATCATGGAGTGACCTGAACTCATAACCTGACTTGCTATAAGTAAATCAGGGGCCATGGCAGCCAGTGTCCAAAGGTTGTCAAAAGGTCCCAGGAAGAGGGCCAAGCCCTTTGCTGCAGAGGAAGGCAAAAACCTCCAGAGTCCATATGAATCTGACCATGGGGTAGAATTCCTTCCTAACCCCAGATATGGCAGTCAGCCTAACCCTGAGCGAAGGGGCAAGACTCTTTAGGCAGGAATCTCTGGCTTTGTCCCAAAAGGAGCATTGGTACACTCCAGTCAAAAGCCCCAGCTTTGGCTGCAGACAATACCCAGTGCCTCTGAAAAAGGTTTAAAAAAACCTTACGCATGTAGCAACAGGGGGCAGGGCAGAGGAAAGGAGAGATTCCCTCCCAGCCCTACTGGGCAACCAGCAAAGCCCAGAACCATGGAAAATACCTGTCGTAAAACATAAGCCTATATCATCCCTGACCAGTGGCTGTCCAATCTTCCTGAATATCTCCAGTGATGGAGAGTGATGCAGAGTCCACAGCTTCCCTAGGCAGTCTGTTCTACTGCTGAACTGTTTTAACAGTGCAGTATACAGATGTTCAGGATTTTTCTCCAAAAGCAAAAATGACTGCCCCAGAAGAAAATTAACCTTGGATCAACCAGGATTAAATCATTTACAGGAGAGTTTATTTGAGAGAGTGAACACCTGCACGTGTTCTCTACTGAGCGAAGCCATGACACCAGTCCCAGCATCCCAGGGTGCCTGGTCTCCCCAAGCCACCGTCCCTGTCCCTGTCCCCTTCCACCTCTGGAGACAAGTGTGTTGCTTGCTAAAATGGAACATGCCCCCTTTGTAATCTCCATGTTGTGCTGTGGGTACCTCTGGCTACATGGTATCAGTGCTGCAAACTCTGCTCTTCATGGTAAGTTTACCTCAGGTTTGTTCTCCTGGTAGAAAACTTACCCAAGGAGCATTCTTCCAGACTATCTGAATGAATGCATGCAGCATTAGTCTTATGCTAGTTTGCAGTTCCATGTAGCCAACTATCAAATGCTTTTGATCCTATGTCATTTAAAAATATAGGAGTGCCTGGCGTCCTTTCCAGTAGATTTCCTTCAGATCCTGAGGAAATGTTTAGTCCTTTTGACTGCAAACTCTTGCAGACCTAACTTGGCATGTGCTTTCAAGTTTCTTTTTAAGTGGTTAGAGCTTTTAAAAAAAAAAACCCCGTGAAAATTAGATTCTGAAGCACAGCTCTATGGCTGGGGATGAATTAATTGACCATTTCTGCAACTCTGAATAAACAGGGCATTAATATGCCAGCACATTTTTTTTTTTACCATAGACAACATCAAAACTAGATGAAGTGCATGCAGTACCAGTCGAGTTGCTTGAATTAGATCTGATTATGGTATTTGAGCATCGCTATTGTTTAAGCATTAATTCTGGAAAGGAATTCAATATTATAGGAGATAATAGGGTTGGAGATTTTTTTTATACTGCTGGATCAAAAAGATGAAGTGTTTTCAACTAACGGCTTTGTGTGATGCACGTTATCTAGTTTCTGCCTTTTTATCCTAAGAGTCAGCATTCATGGTGAAATCTTTTTTCTGACATGCATCACCAACCGTTCACGCAAAAATCATCTTGTTTATGAAGGAAGAGTAAAAGCTTCATTTAATATTACTTCAGTACAGGAAGAGAGCATTTGCACGAAGTATATTCCAATGTGAGCATATGATTTGCTGTGATGAGCAGAAGTATTTACATATTGTTGATATTGGCATCAAAGAAGTACTCATATAGTTTCTTCTATATACATTTATTTAACTTGGATGAGAAATGATGACATTTGTATTTCTCGTTGATGGTCTTGACAATGGGTGGGGAGAAGATTTTGATTCTAGTTTTAAGACGAGTTGTGATAACTGCATAACTTTAGAATATAATTTGGGGGGGGAAATTATATTTCCCTATATAATGGGAAAGCAAACCATTCTCCTGTAGCCTTATACATTTGCATATTGAATCTGGAATTTAAAAAGTCATCATAGTCTTCATATGAAGTTGTTAATATCTGTTGGCTTCTTAGTGGTGAGTGCTGTTGAATCCTGACTTGCTCCACAGGAGGTGAAGAGGTCTTACTCTCTTCTCTGATTCTGCTGATAGCACTAGGGCTTAATCTCTGTGGTATTTTACGATAGAATTCAAAAGCAGACAAAATTACGTAATATTTTAAACATACAAGAAAATAGACCTTTTGGTAAAATCGCTTGTTATTTGGAACACAGAATTAAGAAGGGTAGCTATTTATAAAAAATGGGTAATTAGATAGCATCGTAATGGCTAAAAAGCTCTGAGAACTGATGCCATCCACTGTCTAGAAAAGTGACTAATCCAACCCATGAAAAGTTTAGAGGGTATTAAAATATATTAGTGCTGCTGTTTTAGTGGTTTGTGTTGCCTTCCACTTCTGTATGCCCCTCCTTATCTAACATATGCTGTCAGATTGCTCATCCCCCAAAGAAAAAAAGAATTTGACTTTCACATTGTGGAAGATGCCTAACTGGAAATGAAGGTGTAGATTGTTTGAATTTGTTTTGAATGATATCAAAAGTTTTCATTAATGAAAGTTACTGAGCAAATAGATGAAAAAACGAATTAATGAAGAGAATTTGGGTCTTGATTAAAGAAATCTGTGACGTGCTTTGCTTTTTTCAGACCTGTAAAGTAGGACTTGGGATTTACTATGGCAGAAAAATGATTGCATATTCTAAAATGAATGACTTCGTGGGAGTAGTTTGCTCCAATATTTTTAATTAAATAAGACTATAGCATTCTGGGTTATGAAAAATGTTTTGTGCATAACAAAATGTTTCAAAATCTTCCAAATGGCAGGGTACTAGTAAGCTTCTCAAATAAAAGCTTTTCATAAGATGTACTCTAACAAGTGATTCTGGTCTGTATTCAGAAAGCTATCAACTTAAAGACAAACCTTGCTTTTGCTTCCATTAGCATTTGCAGTGGCAACATATCTGTAACAGTGGACTGCAGATTCTGCTCCTTCTTGTGTGCCTCCAGCAGAATCATTTACTTACATCAGTACAAATCCACAGAAGGCAGTGGTTTTTCTGCAGGAGGAACCCTTGAATGGTGTGTGAAAGTCAGGCAGGACTCCTCTGACTAATTCAAATGTTGAACTAGAAATTATGATCCTAAATTCTCTTTGTTACTTCTGTTTGTTACTTCCACCATTATTTGTCAATATTTTGTAATGGGAAAAAATGTTCTGTGTATTAAATTCTATTGAAATGCTGTTTATACCGCTGCCCATTTAATATTGCATTAAATTATGAGGCTGTGACTCTGTTGTGGGATGTAGGAATTTATGATTTCTTGACTTTGTGAAATTAAGCAGCCCTGTTAAAGAAAGACTGATGGAATTGTTAATGCCTGATAATGCCTTGGAGCTTAGTGAAGTCAGTTTACTGATTTTTGCTGAGCCATAATACATTCTTTATCCAGATGCTGTAAACATAGGTTACACTGTTATGAGTGAATGCACTGAAGTTTAAAGTGAAAAATCAGTATTGTACCTTATTTGTATAGCAGCAATCTCTAGCAGCCCTTGTGCTATGTTTTGGATGGCTCTCACGCTGGTGGGCTTCATGTGAGTTTCAAATACAGAGCTGACAGTGCTTGTATTGCTCATTGCCTATCAACAAATGACCATGGTGACAGATCTTTGGAACCAATGAAAGTATTAGCTTTTTCGTTAGTGAAATTCGCTCATATTTCCCCTAACATGATTTAATATGCCTGCTTTACCACTTCAGTTATTACATATTAACATCATACTGCCCTGAAACACATAAAATGTTATAGTATAATAGAAATATGAATTTTCCCTTGGAACCTTCTAGTCTAATGTCTAGTAGGCAGCTACTTCTACAATGGAATATATATAGCATTCTGCCTTGACAGATTGCACTAACTACATGCATAAGACTAGTAATGCTGTGCTGAAATTGTATGACAAATAGAAAATATTAAGAAATATCTATTAAGGCTCTGGCAGTAACCCATTACAGTGGGAATGGAGAGGAGCTAGGGGAAAATGTGTCATGCAGATTATTAGTTCTGAGATGAATAAATAATGCTGTATAACAAATCTATGCCTATAGAACAGGGGTGGGCAATTATTTGGGCTGGAGGGCCACTCAAGGAGTTTTGGTGAGCTGTTGTGGGCCAGATCATCATCTCCTCCCCCCGCCCTCTGCCCCCAAACTCACCAAAACGCCCTAAGTAGCTCTGCTCCATGTTGTGCTGGGTGGCTGGCATTGGACCACGGGTGGGTGGGGAGTGGCATCCAGGAGCGGAATGAGCAGATGGGGCCAGGGCTTGGATCACGGGGCCATGACAGCATGGGGCGGGGGTCTGGGGCCTGGGGCAGAGCCATGATCCACTTGCTGCATGCCCCTACAAGGGGCACCAGTTCTGCAGGCATGGGCACGTGGGGAGTATGCCAGGTGGGAACTGAGGGACTCATCAGGGGCTGGACAAAATCCTGTGGCAGCCTGGATCCATCCCACATGCCATATTTTGCCACCCCTGCTATAGAAACAATATTTTTAAAACCTGTTCTCCTGTTTTCCAGATTTGAGGCTCAGTTTATTCTTTCAGAGCCAAGTAAAGAATGGAATGGCAAACGAGGGAAAATATCTTCATCTCTGCTTTCTGAGTTTTTTAAAAGGAGCAAACAAGATTCCAAAGTACTTATATGCATCTGTGGTCCAGCACCTTTTACAGAGCAAGGAGAACGGTGAGTGTAAAAGTTACTATTTCTGTACCCATAGTGTACAGAACTTCACCATTTCTAAAAACAGCTCTTTGAATATTTTTGTATGAAAAAAATCATAAATGTGTGTGGGGTTTATAAGCAGGGATCCAGGTTTTCCGTTTCCCACAGAAAAATGGGCCAAAACGTGGATTTTCCCCTTTACCACAGGAAAATGCGGGTTTCTCATTTTAATGGAGAAACCCATGGATTTTGTGCTTTTGCAAAGAGCTCTCTGCAGGCTGGCAGAGTTCTAGCCTGCAAGGGGCTGGGAGGGAGCCTGAGGAGGGTGGCTAGGTAGGGGGTGCCATGTGCATGTATATGCACATGGCCACCAGGCAGCCTGGAGAGCAGCTCCCACAGGTGGTGGGGAGGGGAGGGAAATTGAAGTCCCCTTAGGGAAGGAGTTGGTCAGGACTGGGGCTGCTGCCCAGCTGGGTGGTATGTGAGACTTGGGGCCCAGGGCCACAATGCACAGCAGCAGAGCCCTGCAGGGAGTGGGAAGGGGCCGCGGGTGGCTTGTCTGAGGGGGCGTGGGTTGAGGGTCAGCTCCCTTCTACTGCGTGTGCTCCTGGGTCAGGCAGGTAGTACCCGTGTCCCCAGATCTGTGTGCGGGTTGGGGGTGGGCTGCCTGCTGTGGACTTGGGCTTCTGCCCTGCTGCCCTCCCCAGGGGCCTCTGCAGCCCGGCAGGTGCAACCCAGCACTTCACAGGGCAGCTGCTTGCCACTACGAGCTCCACGATGCCCTGGTGAAGCGTCCCCTGCGTGTGTGGCAGCACTCATAGGCACAGACCTGCGCTGCTGCTCACCTGGTGCCACATGTGCAGGGAATGCCTTACCAGGGCAGCACAGAGCTCGCAGTGGCAGGCAGGTGCCCGTGCAGTCCTGCTGTGCCCTGCAGTGCTGGATTGAACCTGTCTAGCTGGGGAGGCCCTGGGGAGGGCAGCAGGTGAGAGCCTGAGCGTGCAGCCTGTGCCTACCCCCATCCTGTGCATAGATCTAGGGATAGTGGTCCCTGCTATCTGCCCCAGGAAGCATGCACAGTAGCAGGGAGCTGCCCCCGCTCACAACCCGAGCCTGCAGCAGGAAGACAGTGCCCCGGGGGGGGGGGGGGG